TTAACCGTAGGATGGGAGAAGAGACGTGATGAATCTGAATCCTTAGGCTGGAAGGAGATAATTGGAGCTAGGTAAACTTTAATAGTGGAAATGGACAACTTGAAATCAAACAGGTAACACAGATATTGCAGTAACGTAGAGATAGACACAGGGGATGGCACAAGATCCCTGGCTTCAGTGAATTTCAAAAAACGTCTCCATTTATAACTGTAGAGTAGAATAGTGGAGGGTTTCTTTGCCCGATCTAACACCTCCTTGATCTTGGGGAGATCCTCCACACCGTTAGATGCAGAGTGTCCACATCTGGATGGAGCACCCTGCCTGCATCTTGAGTCAATAGATTGGGTGAAGCTGGTAGTTTCATGAAGTCAGAGGACATCTTCTTCAGCGTTGGAAACCATACTTGTCGAGGCCAGTATGGTGCTATGAAGATTGCCTCCACAGGTGTGTGACGAAGTTTCACCAGTGATCTCTGAATCAGTGGGAGAGGTGGAAACATGTATAGGAGTCCCTGATTCCACTGAATCATAAACGCATCCCTGATGGAGTCTTTGCTGAGGCCGGCTCTGGATGCATAACTGGTGCACATCTCGTTCAGTTGAGAAGCAAAGAGATCTACATCTGGAGTCCCCCAGAGGCAATGCGAAACACCTCTGCGTTCAACTCCCATTCGTGGTTCTGAGCTGTGGTGTGGCTCAGTTGGTCTGCTAGGGCATTCTCTGTTGTGGACACATGAATTGCCACAGGAAACACATGGTGGAGATAACACCATTCCCACAGGTGAATGGCGAGGTATAGCAGTGATCCTGAGCGTGTCCCTCCTTGTTTGTTGATATAGTACATGGTCGTGGTGTTGTCTGTTACTACTTGAACACCACGACCCTGCACCATGGGAAGGAAAGCTCTGAAGGCCTTGATGACCGCTATGATCTCCAGATGATTTATGTGGAGGTTTCTTTCTTGTGCAGACCAAAGAGCATGAACCTTGTGCTGTCCGCAGTGCGCTCCCCATCCTGTTGGACTGGTGTCTGTCGTCACTTGGGCAGTGAGCCAAAGTGGTTGAAAGGGTCTGCCTATCCTCAGATGAGGAGGATAGTTCCACCATTCGAGTTGTCGTGCAAGCTCTCGAGTTACGCCTCTGGCTGTCTGTCATGGGATTGAAGAGTGCCAGGAACCATGACTGTAGGGACCGCAGTTTGAGACGTACGTGTACCAGATCCGGAGTGGTGGATGCCATGAGGCCTAACAGATGTTGAACATGTTTCGCCTTCACGCGGGCCCCTGGCCGAAACTTCCTGAGAGCCTTGCGTATTTTTTGAATCCGATCTTTGGGCAGAAAAATTCGACTTCTGATGGCATCCAGACGTGCTCCGATGTAATGCACTATCTTGGAGGGTTCGAGATGTGACTTCTCCCTGTTGATGGTGAGGCCTAGTTTTGGCAGTAACCATAGAATGAATTTTGTGTCTTTCAGAGCCTGAGTCCTGGATGGAGAGACTACCAGCCAATCGTCTATGTAAGGATAGACGTGGATGCCATTGAGGCATAGGTAAGCTGCCACAGGTGCCATGACCTTTGTGAATGTCCTGGGAGCTGTTGAAAGATGGACTCCAAGGTCACCATTCGGAAGTGTCTTGGATGCAGGTAAGTGTTTTGCATTCTTAGGTCAAGGATAGGTCTTACACCTCCACCTTTCTTTGGCACGGCGAAGTACCGGGAGTAGAATCCAATTTTTAGATCTCTGAGTGGGACAGGTTGAATGGCGTCCTTTTCTAGAAGTGACAGAACTTCCTCCTCTAAAGCGGGATCAAAAGATGTGTGACTTACGAATCCTAAGGGAGGAAATTCTATAAATTCCAGTTGGTAGCCGAATTGGATGATTTTCAATGTCCATGAGTCGTTCGTGGTGGCAGACCAGTTTTCCAGAAATGCTTAAAGTCGTGTGGTGATGGGATTTCTGTTTATGTGTATGATAGAGTCAAAGATACTGTTTTGACTTTTTGGCAGGCTGCCTACGCTGCGACTGCTGAGGACGGTAACTGCGAGCGGAGGAAGAAGCCTGAGATGCCCTTTGCTGAGGTAAGTTCTTGTAAGGTCTGTACTGTTGTGAAGATTGCTGATATTGCGCATAAGACCTTCTCCATTGAAATTTTTTGTATCTAGGTTGTGGCTGGACTGAGTATGATTTGGCGGTCTTCTTTGCCTTATGAAGCTCCTCCAAATGATTGTCAGTTTTCTCACTGAATAGTCCAGTAGTGTCAAAAGCAAGGTTTTCCAGTTTGGTTTTGACGTCCTCTAGAATGTCAGCAGACCTCAGCCATGCATGCCTGCGAATAGTGACAGCCGACACAAGAACTCTGGCAGCAGTCTCCGCTGCATGCCTAATGGACAATCTTTGATGTTTTGATACAGTCTGTGCTTCCTCATAGGAATTTAGGAAACCCTGCCGAACGTCCTCTGGGGTCATTTTGAGGCCAGGTAGAATTTTAAGCCAGAGCTGCTTTTGGTATGCTATCAAGGCAGTTTGATAGTTGATGATTCGAAGGAGCAGCGAAATTAAGGAGTAGATTTTTCTCCCAATAATTTCCAGCTTTTTACCCTCCTTATTCATGTGAGTGACATGTGATTTCCCAGAGGGCTTAGTGCAACTTGTTTCCACAACCAGTGAGTTCGGAATTGGATGTTTAAGCAAGAATTTTGTGTCACTGCCATGAACACGATAAAGATTTTCTGTGCGAGGAGAAATAGAGGGAGAGGTAGAAGGCTGATCCCAGAATTCTTTGATAATCACCATTACTACTGGAATGAAGGTGAGACTTGGGGGAGGAGACCTTTCTTGATTGATGTCACCAAAAATAAGGTCCTCAGCAGGAGGTTTAGGTTGGTGTACCTCCAGCTTTAGAGCCCTTGCTAGTCCTGAGAGCACCTGTGAGTAAGAGGAGAAATCTTCTGAGGGAGACGAGGTGTGTGGATCCCCTGTATCAGAACCCACAACTTCACCCTCAGGGAGCTCCCCTTGGCAAGGTTGCAATGTTAACTCTTGCTCAGAATTAGAAGATGCCACAGAGGAAACCTCATCCGGGTCTGATAAGACATCCCTTTTCCTTTTACGAAGTTGTCTTTTGACGTCGAGATTGAAGGACTGGGTCTGCTGTGATGAGATAGGAGCTGTCGATGTCGAAGGAACAGGTTCTACAGGAGGTGGCACTGGGGCCCTAGAGCCCTCGATGTCGACCTGTTGACGTCAATGACGGCGGCGGGGACGTGGAGACTCAGAAGAAGACGAAGAAGAAACGCAAATATATTTTACTTTCTTATGTTTTTGACCCTGATCGGTCGACGTGGAAGAAGAGTCCCAAGAGCTATAGTCCCGACAACGTTGATGGTGGTGACGAACCCTTGGTCTATCAGAGTCATATGAGTCTGAAGACCTATTTCGACGTCGGTGTTTGGATCGACGTCGAGTTGAACAGCGGTGTTTCCTCTTCGACAAGCGCTTTTTTCAAGAGGATCTCAACCTCGAATGCGCTGACGAGACCGAAAGAGCCGAAGACCCCTGCCCATGAGGTACTGGGCGGTGTGGGGCAGAAGTCAAGCCTGCAGTGGCTCTAGCAAGCTGACTCGGAGTCGGAGATGAAACGCCAGCTGGAAGAGACGGCTCAACCTGTCGAGGAGGGAGCGATGGGGCTGCCTCTGACAAAGATTCATGGTCTCTCGACGAGTCCTCCAGTATAGGCGATGGTAAAGCTTCAGAAATAGGCGGTAGTTGAATAGAGGGTTCCTTAGCCTTAACAGGAGCCTTTCCTTTTGCTTGTTTCACAGGTTTAGATGCAGGAGCAGGAGCAGACTTCGACGTCGAAGCGGACTTCTTTGAAGAAGTTGCTTTTTTAAGAGGTCTGGTGACTTTGGAGACAACAGACTGAATGGAAGTTCCCGATTCAGATCGAGGGGTGGCTGAAGGTGAGGCCATTTCCAGGTCAGAAGGTCTAGTAGAAGCTAAAGTGGACACCCACAGGCGGTACTTAAGACGCTGTTGCCTGGCTTTTAGCGCAGCTTTAGTAAAGGCTTTACAATGTCTACAAGATTTAGTGAGGTGGGATTCACCTAAACAGAAAAGGCAACGATCATGCCCATCTTGGTGGAGAATCTTCCTGGAGCAAACAACACAGCGGCTAAATGGCCCTGAAGGGGACATAAAAGCTGAAAGGTCTTACTGGTAGCCGTTAATAAAGCGGGGGAAAAGGTGGGAAGTCCGAAGCAGCCAAAATTGAATGGGAAATCCCAAACGGAGTGGAGCCAAAAAAAAAAAGTCCACGTCAGGGAAGGAGACAGTTCACAAAATCAGTTCGATCCAATGTCAAAAGCCGAAGAAATCAGTCAAAATTAACGAAAGTATATAGAGCTCGAAGCAAGAGGTTCCAAACCGCTAGGCGGAAAAATGGAACTGAGGCTGGGGCGGGCGGAGCATGCGCGGTATAGGCAGCCTTAAACTTGTTACTTTTCTCTTAAAGCTCGAGAATGTTCTGAGAGGACCAACGCTGGCGCTGGGTTAACCCTTTTGTGTGCATTCACAGAAGACCATGATGAAGAATTAAGGTTTTGTGTTTTGTTTTGTTTTTCTAAAAAAAGAAAAGGCCAAGGAGTACATTCAAATGCCATCATCTGGCTCCCTAGTTTGGTTGTGCAAGCATTTGGCAGGAACATTTGTAGCGAGACAAATGAGTGAGATGATCCTGCTATTCTTTACAATTAGAGGTTGCTGAAGGAAGAAAAGGGAGACGTGGGACCAAGTGAACTTCCCGATTTCCCTATGAGCCAGGAACCAGTCATCTTGGCACTTTTCTGGAAATAAAAATCATCCTGGATTTCACTGGCAATGCACCAAGTTTCTATTGCTTACTATTCCATTCAGCTGAGCATCTCTTCATAGTCACCAGAAGGTAAGTGTACCAGAATATTAAAGCGGTGTTTACCCACTCGCTTCCCACAGGGTGCCTTACCTGCAACAGCCCAGGGATGATGTCTTGAAGGAGTTGATGCAAAGACTCCTTTGAGATCCTTTCAATGACTTTAGTCTGCATTTTAATAGCAGCCAGATTAATTGGGTAGTCTGCTGTTTGGATGATGGGGCAAAGCACTTTGATGCACTGTTCTGGGTGGATCGAGCTGGCCAGAGTGGAGGCTGCTTCCTCAGCAGCTCTGACAACCTAGTTGGTGGTGGTGGTAGAAACAAGGAAAACATCAGCATTTTAAACATGTGTCCTTCACAGAAAACACACAGAACATACTGAAAAGGGAGTGGCCCAGAAGCAAGCCAACAGTTTCTGCCTCTAAGAGGTGGACAAAGCACAATTCTCACGCCACCCTCAGGGGCTTTTTGAAGACCCCCCCAAATCACACTCCATCCCCCAACTTTTGGGAACCAAAAGCGTATTTCTGCTGCTAGTGCAAAGGAATTTTTCAATACACTTACTCTAGAACTGACATATTATAGACTTCAGAGACTGGGCATTTCTGAAACCCTTTTTGTATCAGCATTATACAAATGGCAACAGTGACGGAGAGTTAGGGCAAGCTTCCCTAGTCAGTTTTTCATGCCTTACAAAACATGCCAGATGAAATCAACATTGTAGGATAACGGAATGCTCAAGGCAGCATTACGGAGATGGCAGATCCCCTAGTTATCCAATGCCACTGACTCATCAGCAGGGTCTATACTCTACAACTTGGGGGAGTGGAGATTTCCAGCTGGATGCTCTTTGCAGAAGACAAAGAGTACAGGTTCAGGCCTCACTGATAAAATTAAACTAGCTGCAAATCACTTTATTAGGTAAAAAGATCAGTTTTCTTCTGGGATTTGTACGATGCTAATTCAAAGCCACAGTGTAAGGCTGTATTCACATATATGCATCAGTTCCCCCACCCTCTTAATTCATGCTTGTTTTCTTGCAGTCAATAAATTTGGATGCTTGCCAAATGCTATGTTTATGCAAAATCTACAGAAAGAACTGAGAATTACAACTCTGGTTCCAAGGCAGCAATCTAGCTGCCAATATTAGCCTCAAATGAACCTTGGTTTCTTCAACATTGGCCAGCATTCTGTCCAATCATTATGAACATGGAACGCCAATTGGGGAAACTGCTGCAGGGATCTGATGAGGCGCAGGTCATGGTCATGGTCATGCCGAACTACCACATTGTTGGATCACTGTGGCAGCTTCCAAAACTGGAGTTCCACGCATGAAACTATTCAACAGGGCACTGGGGGCCATTATCATTTTCTTACTTTAAGTTAAAGTGAGAAAATGATAGGTTATATATTTAATTTTGAAGCTCTATAAATATAGTATGCATGTAGATGCCATGTACAACTTTGATTGTTGGATGATGGTAGTGCTCAATTTGAGGCCTATTCTTCTGAGACTGAATCCATGGCCTTGAGTGATTGTTCCCACGGGAAAACCTTCAGCCATGACTGTCTTTTATAATTTTACAGTGCTGGATTGATGACCTTCACCCAAACAGGAAAGGCACTTATTACAACCATCTCTTAAGCAGATTGTTGCTGTTAGACACACAGTGCTTAAACAGGCCTTTTGGGTCAATAAATGACAAAGGAACCAAATTATGTTTAATGTTTTTCCCCTTAGTTTTTGATGAAGGAACAAGAAACAAAGAGGTGATAAGTAGAAGGAAAAAATAAACTATCTAAACTTATTTTTGAATAGTCTTCCGCTCCAAACATTCCCAAGGTGTTGCCACCTTGGCAGTTAGAAGGGAACTGAGGGGCAACTGTTGGGTGAAGAGTAAATTAGCTAAGGGGAGGGGCAAAGAAGAATAAAGAGATACAACATGACAATACAATTTAGCCTCTCTATAGTACTACTACACTGAAGAGGCTGTAAACTATTTGACACAACAGATTTAAAGCACAGAAGGGTAACAAGCTCCCCCACTCCCCAAAATGTCTTCTGCTGCAAATATTTCTGCAGTCCTTTTGGGGAAGAGCGTATGAGGAAGACATATCTCAGCAAGTTAACCAGAGCAGTGGTTCTCAAACTGGGGTTCCCAGATGTTCTTGGCCTGCAATTCCCAGAAGCCTCCACCACTTGCTGTGCTGGCCAGGATTTCTGGGAGCTGCAGTCCAAGAACATCTGGGCTTGAGAACCACTGAACAACTGCACCTGCTACATCCATTTTCAGCCAATGAGTTAGTCCAGTTGTTCCTAACTTTGGATAACCTAGATATCCAAGGAACACCTGGGTTAATTAAGACTGGGAGCCACTGGGCTAGTCTAATAGGGATGAACAATATGATGTGGTCTCAGTGTAAGGAAGTCTGTGCAACGGGCTTGGTGCTGTAGGACCCACTACTATTATTGTCTTAGAGCATACAGTAAGATAGAGATTTCATATTCTCCAACTTTTCCTTACAAATTTAAACTTCATAATAACATGAACAGAACCAGAGTGGAAAACCTGCCAGAATCACTATCATCCAAAAAGTAGAAAAAGCCAGACATGAAACAAAGTAGAAAAAAAATCAAGGAAACTGCTTTCTGTTTGTTTTACTTGCCAAGAACTTGGAATTTTTAAAAAAGGTATAATACTTTCAATCCCAGTCCTTAGAAGTCCTCTGTTCAATGGAAGGCCTCATCCTGTATCTCTCCCTCTATACACCTTAGAATCAAGTTCCTCAGTTGTACTGAATGAATATATGTCAGCGCAAGACCATATGCCTGCATCTATGTCAATCTCTGATGGCTTCCTGATGTTTTATATTCACAAGGTGTACAAGAGCCTGCTAAGTGCATAAAAATGTACATATTCTTCATAATTTTAAAACTACCTGCTACCTAGTTTTTAACCCCAACAAAGTGATTCAGACAACACGAACAATGCTGGAGCTTCTGGAGACGGCTGAGCTTTCCTATTTTCTTGTGGAGGTGATTCGCAAAGAATACGACAAGGGCACAGAATCAAGGTGAGACAAAAAGAATGTGAACTTAGGAGAAGCCTGCCAATAAAGGCACTCCTTTAGAACAAAATGTTTTGTCCAACTGCTTTATCTGGAAATCAGTTTACAGCTACTGCTAAATGCCGTTTAAATAAAAGTGTCTTTAAAAAAAAGTGCCGTGTGGAGATTCTGGTTCCAAGAAAATATAGTACAGACATGCTGATTTATTAAAGAGATTAAATTTCTTCTGGCCCTTCTTTTGAAGACAATCCTTACACATTTTGTTCCCATGTTGCTTGCCTAACTGGACAGTATCACCTTGTGTTTCAGAGCAAAAACGTGCATCGGCTACATGGCAATACCATGAAATCCAGTCTCATTACACCCCTTTTGTGCCGAAGAGTGGTCTGCTCTCCTGTTTCTGTATCAAAAGGTCTCAACATTTTATTCTCAAGCTGCCGTAGAATAGACAGCTCCATAATCAAACTGGTCTCATTATAATAAGAGGTACAATACCTACCTAGAAGTAATCCATTAACATAATGCAGGGTGGGCAAAGTGCAATCTTTCATGGACTACAATACCCAGCGTGCCTCATGAGTGACTATTCTGGCTAGGGATGATGGGAGTTGTATTTAAACAACATCTCAAGGATTCACATTTTGCCTATCTTGATACAGTACAGTGGTGCCTCGCTAGACAGTTACCCCACATGACAGTTTTTTTGCTAGACATTGACTTTTTGCAATTGCTATAGCGATTCGCAAAACAGTGATTCCTATTGGGGAATTTCGCTGGACAATGTTTCATCCCTGCTTCGCAAACTGATTTTCGCTAGATGACATTGACAGCTCCCTCCGCACTCACAAAGCAGGTGTCTTCGGGACCTACACTTCGCAAGACAGCTATTTAAACAGCTGATCGGCGGTTCGCAAAGCGGCTTTCCTATGGCCGATCTTCGCTAGACAACGATTCTTCCCCATTGGAAAGCATTAAACAGGTTTCAATGCATTCCAATGGGGAAATGCTTTTCGCTAGACGATGATTTCGCTAAACAGCGATTTCAGTGGAACGGATTATCATTGTCTAGTGAGGCACCACTGTAACACATTTCTGAATTAACTTGCCCATAAGACCTTGCCGTTGGTTCAGGAAACACGATGTTGGGGTGATGTTTACGGCAGGATAGGTTGGAAGGAAAGTATGCTGTGGGCTAAGTGGAAGATGCAGTGTGCTGAGGAGTGTGTGTCCCAAACTGGCACCTCTAGGGGCTGGCTTTCTGAGCTTTACTTCAGGTAGCACTGATGCTCTGGCCATTCAACCAGTTAGTCTGTTTAGGTTATATGAGGGGAGGCTTTCTTTTTCTGAGAAGGGGCCATCGATCAGGGGCTGCAGCAAGTGGTGGGTGGAGCCAGCTCAGATGTCATTTGTAGATAGAGGCAGCTCCTGCTGTTTTTTTAAGATGAAGTGGAAGTAAACAGAAAGATTATAAGCTGTTTAAATTTTGAAACAGGTATGGACTACAAGGTATCTTTATATTGATACATTCGCTTGTTGTAATTTACTGTCTTAGAACAGGCACAGAACAATCCCCCCCCCAATCCTTCCAAGTACAGTGCTTGAGCACCAAAAGGGTCAGGGCAGGTCTCTCGGCAACAACCCGTAGATACAACCTCTAGAGTTCTAATGAGTGTTTCTTGGGCACTGCCCACTCCTCTGGGTAGCACCAAGGCAACCAGGATTACTCACCTCTTTGTGAGAATCTTTATGAGCTTCCAGAGTCTTCATGATTGTGAGTTCAGCATAGTTCTTAAATCTTGCAGGCTGATTTCTCAAGATTTCTCGCAATACTCTCAATGCCAACGCTCGTATTGAGTGCTAAATAAAATGAAGCAGCAGAATTCAGGAAGACGGATTTTAGCTTTTCAGAACTGAACAGGAAACAACACAGATGCAAAACAGATTTTTTGGTCAACAGTCTTCTAGACCTGGAAAAGGAATATTAGGCTCAGGCCTCTAGCTTTTTAGAGGAAGGGGTCATGCCAACTTCCCTCCTACCTGCACTCCCAGAACATGGATATACTGGCCACTGATGTCACCAGGTTGCTTTCACTCTGCCTGCCCACCCATTTATTTCTAGGCAAAGAAGGTGAAGCCATGAAATAAAGAATTTCTAGTATTGTGTCTTCCCTACTTTCCATTCAACTATGCAGGCTACGGTCATTAGGTTCAGAATACCTCAACTCAACATTTCTCATGGCAGACCTGCCTAGGATTATGAGGCAACTGGTCAGCACAGAAGGTCTTGGAAACCATACATCCCAAATCTCAACATTTACTCACTACAGCCCTGCTGTTCATAACCAGGAAGATGCTAATGTGAAGTCTGTCTTTTGTGAAAATCAGTCTGTGAGGCTGATAATCTCAAAGTAAAAAAATCTTAATTCCTCAAGCAAAAGCTCTTTTACAAATTGCACGC